GGTTTTGTTCCAAGTCACAGAGGGAATGAATGTTTTAAGAGGCCAGGATGAGCGCTCCTGAGCTCTGTGACGCATTCCTGGCTCTGGAACCATCACTTCTCCTGTGGGCCAAACTTCTCTCCCTCAAAAATGAGCTCAGATCATTGTACATCAGCGCAGTCAAAACATGTCACATTTGATTTGTTTCTCCCCGAGATGCTGCTATTCCCTGCCCCACAGTTGCTTTTAATTTAGCAATACAAGTATATATAGATACCGGGCTTGGCTTCCGCGCCTGCATAATTACTAATGAGGAAATATACTTAATGTCCTCATTAGTTGGTCATTCCAAGTATTTTTCAGCACGCCAGGATGTTTTCTGGTAATCCGTGCCACTTAGTGCAATAACAGACTCCAACTACGAGAACTATTGCTCACATCAAACCAGACACCAGCAAATGTCACTTAAATACTAATGAGATAGCCTTAAGACCCAACATGGCCAGCACATGGTAGACTTACAGAGACCACAGCATGAAGGCTGCAAATACCGATTTCAAGAAGTTGTGGGGAAAATGTTTCCCAGTGAACTAACTGGGTGGCATCCGCCAGTTCCTACCATGACGGCCTTCAGTTTGAATGGTGAAGAGATTAGACTAAGAGCACTACTGTGATTCCTTCTAGTCCTCTTATTCCCTAGCCCTCCCGTCATTACAGCTGCTACATACAGTTCCATTATGAGAATGGACCAGCATCTCCCTGGGTGTAGTACCCAGACTGCCTCAACCACAAGGAATGGCAGTGTTTGTTTTAACATGCAGATTCCCCTGGGTTGCATCCAGACCTACTGATTGCAGACTTGAAAGCAGGAGGCCAGAAATAATCTTTATTTTAACAATAGCCTCTGATGATTCTTTGGCACTGTAAAGTTTGAGAGCCACCAATGTAGCTTAATAATAACAATTCAACTTTACTTTGAATGCCCCAATTTTTCTTACAGACGAGAAAAGATGAGCTATAAAATTTCCAGGAAGCACTAATTCAGTTAACAAATATATAGGGCAGGGGCACTTGGATACTGGATCTGACAAAGCACTGCCCTCTTGGAGCTTACCTGCCAGTGAAAGAGAAAGAAGGTGCTGGAACCATCACTCGCAGTGATACCATTAGTGGCATGAGGGACACTTTTTTTTTTCCAGAAGAGGGACACAGACAGATCAAAAACGAAGAAAGTTGGGAGAAATATATTCATAGCCAATCTTTTTTTCATTACCAAATTTTAAAATGTCACTTTAAATTTATTTTGTTTATCAGCATGTTTATGTGCGGTGTGTACATGTGTTCCAGTGTATGTGGGTGCATGTGTAGGGTGACCATGCACACGTCTGGTGTCTTCCTCCACCACTCTCCACCATATGTTTTGAGGCAGTGTCTCCTGTGAACCTGGGAGCTAGCTAATCTAGCCAGCTTGCTTCAGGGATCTCCTGTCTCCTTCACCTTCAGCAGGTTAGGATTATGGGTGGGCCATCATGTCCACCAGTTTTGTAAAAGTTTGAGATTTCATGACAAGTGCTTTATGAACTTCACCATCTCTCCAGCCCCTAACGTGGCCCTCTTTAAAGTACAAAAACCTGACTACGTATACATAGTTTGACTCATAAAGTGATCACATCTATTGCCTATAGAGATATAAAGGCTGAGAGAAAAGTAACATACTGGGGGGTTGGGAAGGGAATTCATTTCCTTCGGATATTTCGCATATTTATTGAAGGCTGAAAGTGTGATACATATCCAGCTCCATTCTGCTATTAAAGCATCACGTGGCTAATTTTTCAGAGTGCTTTTTCCAGTTGAATAACTTATAGGCCTGGGCCACTGCTGAAACCTGACCCCCACAGTTGCTGCTGAATGCAGTGTGCAGGCTGTTTGGGTTAAATCCCATATCCATTTGCTGTTGTGTGCAGCAAACAAGTCTCCTTCTATGGCCTTTGTAGAAATCTCCATTCTGCCATGGCTGTCAGTGAAGGGGATGCTACATCTCTGACTAGAGCTAAAGCCAGATTCTGATGGATCAAGTGTCCTGGTAGGCTGGATTAAACACTGGTGGAAACAGAGAGAAGAGCTCATTTTAAAAAATCTTTCTGTATTTAGTCTATGTTTGAGTGGAATAATCAATGACCAAATACCTTAGGGTTTTCTTTGGTGATCCTAAACCTATCATGACTAGAGTTGTAGGGACTGTAAGGCGTAGATGGGGTCTAGATCATCCACTTCCAGATTTAAATGGCTAGGCCAGGCAGAGTATCTGGAATCTTTGGTCTGTTTCTTTAAATTGTACATTCAGAGGAACATACATGATCCTTCTCACCCCATATCTTTGGGTGCTGATTTTGGTTCCAGAATTCTGGGACTTGGACAAAAACGATTGCAGGTAAACTCCAAACTGGTGTAACGTAGCAATATTTAGTACCTTTGAATGAATGAGGCAGGAGAATCATAGCAATTAGCTAATCTGCTGGGCACCCATAGACTACAACAGATGCAGAGCAGTCACTGTGTGATTTGTCTGGAGATGCACAGCTGATCTCTTTTCTCAGCTCTCCTCCAGTTAAGAGAGTACGTGAAAAAAAAAAAAAA